CCCAGGGTAAAGCACGTGCACACACGTGGTGTCTCACAATGTCTGTAACTCTAGCTCCAGGAGGTACGACACCCTCTTCTGGCCTCCACAGACAAAGACATACGCGGAGGCAAAACAGCCATATGCATAAAATAAGACACAATTCCAGGATGAGAAAACAATGGTCCAGAAATAGAAGCAAAGGCTCGGGGAGGGAGCTGTGGGAAAGGTGGGGGTGCCCGGAAAGAGGCTGAGTCAGGAGGCATGCTTTAAACCTGGGGCTAGCCCCAGCTACAGAGAAACCCAGATAGTGGCCCTGGCGCAGCTTGTGATATTTTTATGAACTAAGAAAGCACAATGCTGCGATGCTCAGTGTGCCTCTCCCAGGACAGGACTTCCAGGATCCCCTACGGCTGTCACAGCCTGTCTCCTGCCGTGCAGTTATTTACTCTTCATAGAGGCTGGATAGATGCCAGGAGCACGAGACCCCAAACTACTATTACACACAGGCCCTCCACAGGGCAAGCAAGCAAAGACACACCCCCAGGAACCCAGCTCTCCCAACAAATAGTCCTGCTAAGTTTGTCCACTGCTGAACAAACACCCCTTTAGGATTCAGGACCCAGCAAGAACTCCTCCCTGCTGTGCAGGAGTATGCGCCATCCTGCCACATTTCATCTCAGTGTGTTTATAATCACCATAGAAACCAACTTCTGGGCATGTCCGCAAACATGTTTGTTTCTGGACTGAGTTAAATGGGAAAACACCAGGATTTATCACTCTCTGCTTCTGAGGATACAATGTGACCGGTTGCCTCGGGCTCCTACTGTCAAAGGGACTGTATCTCCTCCAACCGTGAGCCATAAACCTGCCATGCTGGTCAGTTTAAATTTTCTGTCAATTTGACACAAGCTAGAGTTATTAGGGAAAAGGAATCTTTTTTTTTTTTTTAAAGACAGGGTTTCTCTGTGGTTTTGGAGCCTGTCCTGGAACTAGCTCTTGTAGACCAGGCTGGTCTCGAACTCACAGAGATCCGCCTGTCTCTGCCTCCCGAGTGCTGGGATTAAAGGCGTGCACCACCACCGCCCGGCCGGCGGGAAAAGGAATCTTAACTAAGAAACTATCTCCCTGAGCCAAGTGGTGGTGGCGCACACCTTTAATCCCAGCACTCAGGAGGCAGAGGCAGGAGGATCTCTGAGTTTGAGGCCAGCCTGGTCTACAGAATAGTCAGGGCTGCACAGAAAAACCCTGACTTGAAAATCCAAAAAATAAATAAATAAAGGCTACTACGCTCATGCTGGCAACACCCTTGGGACCCAGATCCGGTTCTGCTGGCTCTCTGGTGCCCACATGGAACTCAGGAAGAAATGCCCCTATGTCCTGGAGGAGGGGCTATGTTCTATACACATAATCCCCCCGAATGTGGAGGCAATGGCTCTGCCATGAGGCTTCAGAAGTTGCCACAATCTATAAGACCTTTATCCAAGTGGCTCCTGGCCATCTGAGGGCACCTTCAAACTGTTGAGGCCACTGGTCAGAGATCCGAGCCCAGGCGAGCGCAGGAGTCAAGGGTCAGGGTGACAATGAGGTCTCCAAGGAGAAGTGTGCTGGGCAGGGACTCTGAGGAAGCCAGCAGGAAGGTGCCTGTCTCCAAACCTGACCACTCGAACTCAAGGTCTGGGACCCACATGGTGGAATGAGAGAACCCACTCCCACAGGTTATCCTCTGATATGTACATGAGCCCTGGCAAACCATCACCCACACAAATATACACACACAAAATAAATAAAAATATCATTTAGGGGATGGAGAGACGGCTCAGGGCTTAAGAGTGTGTTTTTTTTTTTAAAAGATTCTTTTTTTTTAATATTTATTTATTTATTATGTATACAATATTCTTTCTGCGTGTATGCCTGAAGGCCAGAAGAGGGCACCAGACCTCATTTCGAATGGTTGTGAGCCACCATGTGGTTGCTGGGAATTGAACTCAAGACCTTTGGAAGAGCAGGCAATGCTCTTAACCACTGAGCCATCTCTCCAGCCCTGTTTTTTTTTTTTCCTTTTTTTTTTTAGTTTTTCGAGACAGGGTTTCTCTGTAGCTTTGGAGCCTGTCCTCCTGTTTTTTTTTTTTTTAAGAGTGTTTTTTGTTTTGTTTTTTTTTTCCTCCTCTTGCAGAGGACCCAGGTTTAGTTTCCAGCTATAACTTGGGGCTGAAGAAATGGCTTAGTGGTTGGGAACATGGTTGCTCTTCTACAGGATCCAGGTAGGTTTAATCATGGCAGCCCACAACCATCTGTAGGTCAATCCTCCTGTGTCCTTTGTGGGCACCAGGCACACATACACAGACATACACACAGGAAAACTATGTGAAAACAGGGGCGGCAGAGATGGCTCAGTGGTTAAGAGCACTTGCTGCTCTTGCAAAGGACCCAGGTTTGGTTCCAACATGGTGGCTCACATCCATAATTCTAGTTCCAGGAGATCCAATGCCCTTTTCTGGCCTTCTTTAGGCACTGAAATTACACGGTGCATGTACAAGTTCCTACATATAACATAATATAATAATAAACTTAAAATACGTTTAAAAGTAACTTAAAAAATTTGAAGCGACCACCAGGCAATGCTCTGGGAGCTCTGACCCGAGGCTGGATACAGGTGAAGTCTCACAACTGTGCCGGACGAGAACGGAGAATAAACAAAACACAAACAAATGACACACATCGCCAGCCCGGCCCACCTCTGGATTCAGAGGACAGACCTTCAAGTGTGGCTCTTTCCTCCTACCTCCCCATCTTCCTCCTCCTCCTCACCATGGTTAACAGCAACAGGCTCTCCACTGCCCTACCTACAACTTGACTGGGCTCAAGATCAGAACTGAGGCCACCAAAAGATCACAGTATTTCTTCACCTGTCTGGGGAGCAGATGCCAGGCCCAGTATGTTTGGTCTCACTTTCTGGGGTTTTACTCTCTCATTTTATCATCTCAGTAATTGTGTGTTCATAGACATGTGCCCCGTACGAGGTTCCGGGAAATGCACATCCATAATTCTAGTTCCAGGAGATCCAATGCCCTTTTCTGGCCTTCTTTAGGCACTGAAATTACACGGTGCATGTACAAGTTCCTACATATAACATAATATAATAATAAACTTAAAATACATTTAAAAGTAACTTAAAAAATTTGACAAGGTGCCAAGCTCTGAACCTGCACTGTGTTCTCGCCCTCTGGATACGCTACTTCCTTGTCCACGATCCATGCTCTCTAGCACACAGCACAGGCTCACAGTTGTAGTCTCTCCAAAGCTCAGGACTGAGACAGAGGACTGCGCAACTGCACTGACTCTATCAGGAGGAAGGTGAAGTCAAGGTCCTGCCAGCCCAGGCTCTTGTTTACTTACTCACATAGACATCTGAGCATCCTGCCAGGCGGTGGTGGTGCACACCTTTAAGTCTAACACTCGGGAGGCAGAGGCTAGTGGATCTTTGTGCGTTCCAGGCCAGCCTGATCTACAAAGTGAATTCCAGGATAGCCAGAGCTAAACAGTATAACCTGTGTGTATGTGTAAAAAACAAATCTGAGTATCCACATGACTCTTCCATCACACTTAGTATTTTTTTTTTTTTTTTGTGGGAGGTATCCGGACAGGGTTTCTCTGTGTATTTCTGGATATCCAAAAACTTGCTCTGTAGATGACCAGGCTGGCCTCAAACCCAGAGATCTGCATGCCTCTGCCTCCCAAGTGCTTAATCTAAAGGTGTGTGCCACACTGTCTCCTACTAGACCTAGGATTCTTTTTTGTTCTTGTTTTTCGAGACCGGATTTCTCTGCACAGCCATGGCTATTCTGGAACTCACAGAGATCTGCCAGCCTCTGCCTCCCGAGTGTTGGGATTAGAGGCGTGCGCCACCACTGCCTGACATGACCTAGTTCTTAGACATAGTTGTCTTCTCCATCATATTCTAAGGCCACGACGATTAGCTTTCTCCTTCCGCAGAGGTCAAGACACCAGGCTCTTCTTTCAGACCCAGGTCAGCCCTCTTCCATTAAGTCCAGGCATCCTCACCGGTCCCGCCTCCCCTAGACCGGGCCCCACACAGTCCTCCCTCAGGCCCAGGCTTTTAGGCTCCAGCCCTCCTAGCTCACACAGAAAGGTGCACACACCAGCACTCCTTCCTCAGACCTTGCTACATTCTTCCCAATGCTTCCCTTAGACCCACGTGCCCTCCCAAGCCTCCTTGAGACCCAGGCGACTTCCTCAGCCCCTCTTCCTTCATGCACACAGGCATCCTCCTCTTTATCTCTTGCTCAGACCCAGGATCCTCCTCAGTATCCTCCCTCAGACTCATGAGTCCTCCCCCAAAACCGGGCATCTTCCTTAGCACTCTTCCATCAGACCGCCTCCTCAGACTCCACAAGGAGGATTTTTCTCAGTTCTCCACAAGCACCCAACACTTACCACAGTTGCCATGATGCACACCAACCGCCAATGCCTCAGCGGAAACGGAAACCGGCCAGGAGCAGCCTTTGTTCTCTCTAGGCTCCCCGGTCATCCAGCCCTCTCTATGGTTCATAAAATATGTAAAACTCTCCTGGCCGCGCCCATCCCAGAGGCTAAATTGGAAGGCGGGTGTCTGAATCTTGGGCGGGTTCTTGACGTCTCCTGCTCCTCCTCCTTTTACCCACCCACCCCCACCCCCAACCGCTAAGTCCGATTGCAAAATCCTGAACACTTTTTGTAGCAACCACACGTCCTCCACGATCGTTTTCCCCTCTGTCCACCCTTCCTCCCCAAATTGGGGCCGCAGCCGAGACTGACAGTTCTATTCACCAATTACTTTCATGCTGCCCAGCAACAAGCCCCGCCCCCTGTAGGACCCCGGGAGGGTCTGGCTAGAGAAACTGGATCCCATCCTCCAATAAGAAGACGCCGCAGTCCCGTCCCCAAGACGCGGACCAATCCTGCTAGACCAGCAGTGTGGGCAGTGCCTCCTGGCGGTCACAAGGCATCACTGCAGCTGCTCGCCCGACTCGGTGTCGCCGTGCTTCCTACCTGAGTCGGAGCGCTCTGGGGCGGGGGTGCGGTCGTGTAATAGGAAGCGGAGTGCTTTGCAAGCTTCCCGTGGGACACCCGCTAACCCGGCCGGTCGCCAAGTCTGGTGCATTCCCAGCCGACCTCTCCGGTTTTCATTTTTGGTGCTCGAAGTCCCTTGCTTGTAGCAGCCATGCCTCTCAGCCGCAGTCTCTCCATGTCCTCACTTCCAGGACTGGAAGATTGGGAGGATGAGTTCGACCCGGAGAACACAGTGCTTTTCGAGGTGGCCTGGGAGGTGGCCAACAAGGGTGAGAACGCCAGCCTCGGTCCCTTGACCGAGGAGGGCAGTCGAGGATGGGGGCCCCAAACCCTGTTCATACGGGCACAGAGCTTCGTGGGCGAACACTTGGGTCCTGTGAAAAGCGCCTGTGACTTCTGTGTCCTTGAGGTGGGCCAGGAGTAGGCGTCCTAGGCCCTGGGGGGAAGGGACCAGAGGCTACTCTCAAGATGGAAGGAGGCTTCAGGTCCTGCGATGTAGGGGAGAGGGCACTCAGAGAGAGATTCCCGGGTCTTGGAGGGAGGTTTTCGAGGGCCGAGAGACCTCAGATCTAAAACCCTGGGGAGCACGGAGCTTTCGGGTCTGTGGTCCAGAGGATGTGACTGTGAACTAGAGTTTGCTCCGAAAACTTAGGATTCGTGGATAGTTCAGAGAGCATGGTGGACCTGACCACTTTAGTGTAAAGACGAGGGGAGCCTAGACACTCGAATTCTTAGATCCAAGGTGGGAAAGAGCTGGGAACTTGAATGCCCAGCTGTGAAGGACCCAGGGCCTAAGCCATGGCTTCCTAAGTGGAGAGGTGTCTCCCTGAGGCCCCTCACTTGCACACTGGAATGGGAGGAACCCACAGCCCGCAGTTGTGGCGGGGGGGTAGTCTAGACCACTAGCTTCTTGCTCGTGAGGAGGCTGGGCTGCGTGGATCTGAGTGTTTCGTTCTCTCCATCCTGGGGGAGAAAAAGACTGTCTTTCCCAGCATGGTGGGAGTTGGCAGACAGAGCTGTGTCCTGCCACGGTGCTGGTCCCAGGGCAAGAAGCCGAGGACCTAGATTCCTCAATCTGAGGTGGGGTCACAGGAGGAGCAGGGCCCAGTGTGCCTGTGCCCCTTCCCTGAGAGTCATAGTCAGGGTCCCTGGAGGTGAGGATTATGAATTCCAGCTTCCTTTAGGTAACTGTGGGAAGCTGATGCACCCGAAAGTTGGGAGCATTAGAACCTGGGTCCCCAATCCTTGTTTCCCCCAGCTCCTAAAACCCTCAGACGACCAGGAGCCTAACCCTGCTCCTCCCCTCACCTCACAAGAGGCTGCCCTCTGGGCTTTCCATGACCCCAGCCCCCACCTCCTCTGCTTCCCAAGTGTGGGCTCCCGCCTGTTTTCTGCCCCATCAGAGCTGTGAACCAATGGTGGGGTTGTCTGTCCTTTTGCACTTTGGCCCACAGTGGGTGGCATCTACACTGTGCTGCAGACGAAGGCGAAGGTGACTGGGGATGAGTGGGGTGACAACTACTACCTGGTGGGACCATACACGGAGCAGGGCGTGAGGACTCAGGTGGAGCTGCTGGAGCCCCCGACTCCTGAGCTGAAGAGGACCCTGGATTCCATGAACAGCAAGGGCTGTAAGGTGGGACACAGCTCTACCCAGGCGGGTGGGAACATGGCCTGCCAGCAGGGGCTACAGGAGGCATGGGCCCAGCAGACCTAGGGAAGAAAGGGACAGACAGGTCTGGTAAGGAAGGCCAGTGGTACCAGGTAGATGGATGGGGATGGATCTAAGCTGAGCTCCCGGACCCACAGGGTAGAAACAAGCTGGAACTGGACAGAAAGACAGTCAGAGCCAGGTGCTGTGTGCACACCTGTAATCCCAGCACTCTGGACCACAACAAGACACTGTCTCAAAATTAATGAAGAAAGTAAAGAACAGTAGCCAGGCAGGCAAAAAGATGGAGTGTTGATGGAGAGAGGAGAAACTGGAATAGAGGGATAGAGTCTGAGTTGAGCAGGTCCAGGGATTAAAGAGAGGGAAAGGGTGTGGCTCAGTGTAGATTCCTCTGCCTAGAATCCCCCAGTGAGGGGCTGGGGTGTGGCTCAGTGTAGAGTCCTCTGCCTAGAATCCCCCAGTGAGGGGCTGGGGTTGTGGCTCAGTGGTAGAGCCCTGCCTGCCCCGTGTTCAGTCTTGAGAGAAGTCAGTCACTCCAAGCACTCAGAAGGCAAAGGCAGGTGGATCTCTGAGTTCAAGGTCAGGACAAGAGAAACAGGACCAGAGAAAGAGAGAGAGAGAGAGGGAGAGAGAAAGAAGAAGGTGATGTGTCTGGCTTCTGGGGAGAGGCCATGAGAGGCAGGCAGAAGGCACAGACTAGGGGTTGGAAGACAGAGAGACAGGATCAGGGCTCCATCATCACAACCTGTGTTTGGGGTGGGCTCCAGCATCCAGCCAGGCCAGATCATGTCCCTATGGGACCCCAGAGCAGCCACGTCACTCCCCCGGGGCAACGGTTCCTAATAATAGACCCCTCCCAGCAAAAGGGCAGACAACAGCTGGGAGGGGGAGGGGTACCCCAGTGAGTCTCTGGCCAGACCAAGCCAGATTGGGACGGAGGGACGTGGAGTTTTAGGGAAGTGGCCGTGGGTAGGAAAGTGCAGTCCTGGTTGTTAGGCCTGTGATTACAGATTACAAAACAGGCCATGGCAGAAGAGAAACCTAGCAGGCAGCAGTTAGGTAGGGGCACAAGCGAGCGAGTAAGCGAGCAGGGCAGTGGATGAGGACAGTGAGCCGGCTGAGCTCAGTTCCCAGGTTCCGGAATAAGGCAGTGGGGTGAAGCACAGGCCAGCTGTCTGAGCCTCCCTCTGCTTCTCTCTTAGGTGTATTTTGGGCGTTGGCTGATCGAGGGGGGACCCCTAGTGGTGCTCCTGGATGTAGGGGCCTCAGCCTGGGCCCTGGAGCGCTGGAAGGGTGAGCTTTGGGACACCTGCAACATCGGGGTACCCTGGTACGACCGTGAGGCTAATGACGCTGTCCTGTTTGGCTTCCTCACCACCTGGTTCCTGGGTGAGGTAGGCCCTCCTACAGACCCCCACCTCATCCTTTCTACCCAGACTGGAAACCCAATCACCATCCCTTCCTGGGCCAGAGGGTGGGCTTCCCCTGGGCAGTCTTGGAATTGTGGTTTCTTTAATGCAAGGATGGACTCTGATTTGGGGGTATACGAATGCCCAGGGGTGCAGCTTGTTTTCTTTTTTTCTTTTTTTTTTTTTTTAAATGTGTAGCCCAGGCTGGCCTCGAACTCGTGATCCTCCTGCCTCTGCCTCCTTCAGCAAATCCTACCGGCGTGCGCCACCACAACCGGCGTGCAGCTTGTTTTCTCAGAAGCGCCAGCCACGGCCTCCTTTACTCCAGTCTCCAGTGTAAACACACTGAGGGCCTTGCCTCCGGGAGGGTGTGTCAGTAGTGGGATTGGTCACAGGAACTCTGGGAGTTGCTCTCCTGTTTTTTTTTTTTGTTTGTTTTTTTGTTTTTTCGAGACAGGGTTTCTCTGTAGCTTTGGTGCCCATCCCGGAACTAGCTCTTGTAGACCAGGCTGGCCTCGGACTCCCAGAGATCCGCCTGCCTCTGCCTCCCGAGTGCTGGGACTAAAGGCGTGCGCCACCACTGCCCGGCAACTCTCCTGTTGATGCTGACTATATCTAAGCTTGGAGGGGACTCTTGATGCTTACAGATCGAGAGTTGCTTTCAGGACCCAGAATCTGGGCTGCTCCCTCCTCCCCATTCTAGGGGAAACTTGACTGTAACGCTCTAGGACAAACAGGACAACTTGATTCAAGGGATTCTGAAAGTTTGATCCTGTTTTTACCCATAAAACGTCTACTGCCATTGATTGCGATACCAAGTGTGGAATTGAGAGCGGGACTTAGGGACATGGGCATGTTAGTCCTTGCATTTCAGCCTTGCCAGGATTTAGACACTGGCAAACAAACAAACAAGTTCCCATCAGCTTCTGGGACCAAGGTCAGCTGGTTCAGGGCCTTGTCTGTGTGAATGCTGCCTGCTGTTTTCACGTCAGTGGTCTCCCGTCCCTTGCTTCCTTGTGCATGCTGGGGGTTCCTTCTGTGACACGTGGAAACACAGTGACCCTGTCCCCGTTGCTCCACAGTTCCTGGCGCAGAACGAAGAAAAGCCATATGTGGTTGCCCACTTCCACGAATGGTTGGCAGGCATCGGTCTGTGTCTGTGCCGTGCCCGGCGCTTGCCAGTGGCAACCATCTTCACCACCCATGCCACGCTGCTAGGGCGCTATCTGTGTGCTGGTGCCGTGGACTTCTACAACAACCTGGAGAACGTGAGCTGGAAGCATGGGAGACACAAACATTGCATGACAGCCCAAAGCCCTGGCAGAGAATCATGCTCCTAAGAGTCCAGGCTCCCCACCCTTCTATCATTAGACAACGGGACAGACCCTGAACCTCTCCCTCACACCCACAAGAGCAGCCCAGATCCTGTTCTCAGAGTCCAGCTGCTAGTCCCAACCTCCCTCGGGGCTGCAGTCCAGACCTGAGTCTTAGCCCAGTCCTCCAGACCCTGATTTCCCTCCCTTCCTGCTCAGTTCAATGTGGACAAGGAAGCAGGCGAGAGGCAGATCTACCATCGCTACTGCATGGAGCGAGCCGCTGCCCACTGCGCTCACGTCTTCACCACTGTGTCCCAGATCACCGCCATTGAGGCTCAGCACCTCCTCAAAAGGAAACCAGGTAAGAGGGAAGAGGCTCTGCCAAGCCCCTATCAATTTAGTTTTACTCCGGAGAATAGAACATGAATTCCTGGAAGTCCTGGGTTGAGATGGGAACTTGTAAATGAAGCAGGCCACCTCCGCTTCCTGAATGATACAGATAATAGGAGCTAGAGGTTTTTTTTTTATTATGTTTTTTGGTTTGGTTTAGTTTTTTGAGCCAGGGTTTCTCTGTAGCTTTGGAGCCTGTCCTGGAACTAGCTCTTGTAGACCAGGCTGGTCTCGAACTCACAGAGATCAGCCTGCCTCTGCCTCCTGACTGCAGAGATTAAAGGCATGCGCCACCAACGCCCGGCGAGTTTCTTTTTTTTTTTTTTTAAATATTTATTTATTTATTATGTATACAACATTCTGCCTCGATGTATGCCCGCAAGCCAGAGCAGGGCGCCAGATCTCAGTACAGATGGTTGTGAACCACCATGTGGTTGCTGGGAATTGAACTCAGGACCTCTGGAAGAGCAGCCAGTACTCTTAACCTGTGAGCCATCTCTCCAGCCCACGGCGAGTTTCTTTTATTCTGATTTCACAAGTGGCTAATACATGCTGATCTTCTGAAAGAAATGCAAATATAGCAGGCTTTATTTTTGAATAAAGTAGGGTTGGAACTAGGTTTGCTCATCCTGCCCCATATGCTCCTCAACTTTAAACTTTGCCCTAGGTCCTGGGTTGTAATTTTTTGGTGATTTGTTGTAAGTGTGTGTGTGTGTGTGTGTGCGTGTGATGCACACTGGTTTATATTTCTTTTTTTTTTTAATATTTATTTATTTATTTATTATGTATACAATATTCTGTCTGTGCAGGCCAGAAGAGGGCACCAGACCCCATTACAGATGGTTGTGAGCCACCATGTGGTTGCTGGGAATTGAACTCAGGACCTTTGGAAGAGCAGGCAGTGCTCTTAACCTCTGAGCCATCTCTCCAGCCCCCATGGTTTATATTTCATACATGTATATGTGGAGACCAGAAAGACTCTCAGGTGTCTTCTCTGTGACTGACTGACTATCTATTTTTTTTTTTTGTTTTGTTTTTTCGAGACAGGGTTTCTCTGTAGCTTTGGTGCCTGTCCCGGAACTAGCTCTTGTAGACCAGGCTGGCCTCGAACTCACAGAGATCCGCCTGCCTCTGCCTCCCGAGTGCTGGGATTAAAGGCGTGCGCCACCACCGCCCGGCTTGACTACCTATTTTTTAGAGGTTTTATTTATGTGTGTGTGTGTCTTTGTGAGTGGGTACATGCACCTGTGTGTGCACATGTGTATTCATGGAGGTAGAGGAGGACTTGGATCCTGACATCAGATGGAGTTACACGCACTGTTAACCACCCGAAATAGGTGCTGCTGGCTTCACTGCTGAGCCATTTCTCCTGACACCTACAGGCAGGGTCTCTCACTGAACCTGGAGTCTGCCCGTCCCCGCCCACCCCCAGTGCTGGCATTACAGGCATACTTAACCGTGCCCAGCTTTCATTGGCTGCTGTGTGTTTGGTTTTGGGTCGTCTTTTTAAGCAGTTTTATTAGTATTTTCATATGCGTGGCTCTCAGTGGCCCAGCTCCCACAGATGGGTGACCACATGGGGGTCTGATGGACTCAGGAACTCTGGGGGTGTGGCTTTCATCTGTCCTCCCTCTCTGAAACAGGAACTAAAAATACTGCCATTGGTCCACTTCCCCCGAGATATACCTTCTCTTTCTCTCTCTCTTTTTTTAAAAAATGGTTATTATTTTATGATTTATTTATTTTTACTTTTTGTGCATTGGTATTTTGTCTGCATGTATGCTGTGCAAGGGAGTCAGATCCCCTGGAGGTAGAGTTACAGGCAATTGTAAGCTGCCATGTGGGTGCTGGGAATTGAACCCAGGTCCTCTGGAAGAACAGCCAGTGCTCTTAACCGCTGAGCCGTCTCTCCAGCCCCCTCTTTCTCTTTTATTTTCTTTTGTCAGCCAAGGTCTCTCTGGGGTGGCCTTACACTGAGGGTTCAGTCCCTGAAGGGCCTCAGTTACCACAGTGCTGTGACTGCTATCGTGTTTGGTCTCGTTTCGTCACGACGAGCTGTCTGTCTTCATGCCTCTTTCAGGAGCTCAACCATTTCCTCCCCTCATATAATTAATTTTTAAAAGTGTGTTTGTTTATTTAATGATGTGTGTGTGTTGCCCAAGTGTATCAACACTGGATGCTGTTCTAGAAAACCCAGGTTCCACCTCCAGCACCCACATGGTGGCTTACAACCCTCTATGGTTCCACTTCCTAGACGTCTGGCATCCTCTGCTGGCCTCCACAAGCAACAGACACACACATGGTACACGGACATACTTGTAGCCAAAACACCAATACACATACAATAAAAGGAATAAATCCAAAAACTAAAATAAGAAATAAAGAAAGGTCAAGTAGAATCAGTCCCATGGAGCCGGGCTCACCAGGGGCTGTAGGACGGTGAAGTTACAGCAGGAAGTCCTTTCCCTCTTGATCAGAACAAAGAAATGAAAGGTGGACTTGCTCTCCCAACCCTAGATATTGTGACCCCCAACGGGTTGAATGTGAAGAAGTTCTCTGCTATGCACGAGTTCCAGAACCTTCATGCTCAGAGCAAAGCACGAATCCAGGAGTTTGTGCGAGGTCATTTTTATGGGTATGTGAGCCAGATGGCTAAGAGAGGGTGGGGGTGAGACTCTAGTCTGATGGAGGAGGGCTGGGGTCCGGACTCCCACGTGTCAGAGAGGGTGAAGGTTTGGACTCCTTGGCCCTCCAGAGCCCTGGGACAGCTGTGGTCTCCATTCTTTCTCTCTCTCTTTCTCTCTCTCTCTCTCTCTCTCTCTCTCTCTCTCTCTTTTTGAGACAGGGTTTCTCTATAGCTTTGGAGCCTGTCCTAGAACTAGCTCTTGCAGACCAGGTTGGCCTCGAACTCACAAAGATATGCCTGCCTCTGCCTCCCAAGTGCTGTTATTAAAGGCATACGCCACTACCACCCAGCTCTTTTTTTTTTTTAAGATTTATTTATTATGTGTACAGTGTTCTGCCTGCATGTGTCCCTATAGGCCAGAAGTTGGCACCAGATCTTATTACAGGTGGTTGTGAGCCACCATGTGGTTGCTGGGAATTGAACTCAGAACCTCTGGAAGAATAATCAGTGCTCTTAACAGCTGAGCCATCTCTCCGGCCCTCTCCATTATTTTTTGACATCTAGAGCTGTGTGATGGGTGTTAATTAAATGCCCTTCAAAGGAGAAAATGCTCCAATCTGACCGTGACCTCTGATACCAGTGTATTGTAAAAAATGCTTTGGCCCTGTGGCTTCTGGAGTTTGTAGTTTTCAGACCCAGCTTGGGAACTGAGCTCTTTCCTGTGACTTGTTTAGGCACTTGGACTTCAACTTAGACAAGACTCTGTATTTCTTTATTGCTGGCCGCTACGAGTTCTCCAACAAGGGAGCTGATGTGTTCCTGGAAGCCTTAGCCCGGCTCAACTATCTTCTCAGAGTAAGGCCTGGTCCATGGAGAGGGAGCTGGAGGAGAAAAAGTGTTCATAGCCAGGGAGAATGGAGACCTACGGGGTGGTTATGGAAACCCTCGGGTAGGAGCAGAGCACAGAGACCCAGAAAGATAAGCAGTCAGGTCTGGTGGCACAGGCCTGCTATCCCATTCTGGGGGCAGGGCAGAGGTGGGGGGGGATGGAAACAGGACTGGGAGCTTAGCTCAGGGTTAGAGCACCTACATAGATGGGCTGAGGATGTGACTCAGTCTGGGCAGAGCCCCTGCCTAGGATGGCCCAGTGAGAGCCAGAGGTGTGACCAGTGGTACAGCACCTACCTATGCAGGAGACTTTGATTTTAATCTCCTGTATTGTGATAAAAAAGAAAATCAGAAGTCACATAGTTCTTAGCCATGATGGCATGGTTGAGTCTAGCGTACTGATGTCCCTGTGCTTCTTGTCCCAGGTGAACGGCAGCGAGCAGACAGTTGTTGCCTTCTTCATCATGCCGGCCCGGACCAACAATTTCAACGTGGAGACCCTGAAGGGCCAAGCCGTGCGCAAACAGCTCTGGTCAGCAGTCCTTGCCCGCTGACCCTGGGGTCCACAGCTTACCTCTCTGCGGTGGCTATCTCTGACCTGATCAGGACGCCACACCCATTCCTAGTAAAACCTTCACTTCAAGCGCGTGGTCTGGCTGCAAGTATGAGCACGTGATCAGGGCAGATGACCCACCACAGTTTCTGCCCTGCCACCAGCTGTGACCTTCCTTTTTATTCTGCTGAGCCACCGCACCCCTCCTGGGCCCATTTCCGTCTCTCTGACACCCATGCATTCACTGTCCCCCAGCCTCTGAAAATCTACCACGTGTGGGCACTGTTCTGACCCTGGTGAGAGCAGGTGCCTGTTGAAGTGAGGGCGAGCTTGGACTGCAGCCCGGTCCATAGAGTGCTTGCCCAGCACTCGTAAGACCCTTGGTTCGGTCCCCAGCATTGCATAGACCAGGATCGTGGTCCATTTCTCTAATCCCAACAGTTGGGAAGGAGACACCGAAGGCCCAGAAGTCCAAGGTCATACTAGCTAGCACACTGAGGCCAGGGTGTGGAGGGGGTCAGGGAGAGGGGTCCAGGGTGGCTGGATCAGCGTGTCCCTGGGAGGATCATAAGTCATGAGACAGTAGGGTGATAGTCTTTCCGAGCTTGTGTGCCAAGATGTTCCTCTCTCAGAATATTATTCCTCTTGTTTATAAAACAGGGCCTCGCATCACTGTCCAAGGTTCGCCCAGACCCTAATAATAGCTGACATTTCTGGAAGGCTCTGTAGCTGGGCTTCCTCCCGGCCTCGCAGGCTCTCTGCAGCTCCGAGGTCCTTCTATTTTTGCACTCCCCTCACAGATGAGTCGCTGACATCAGAGGAAAGGCCACCTGTCCTCCAGTCCCCACCCCCAGTCTGAAGCCCCCCAGGGCCTGCTTCTTGGCACAGATCTCAGTTTCCCTGTCGCCCCAAAGCCTGACAGTAAACAGTAGCTGGTGTGTGTGTGACATTTGTCTCTCTCCCTTCCAGGGACACGGCCAATACAGTTAAGGAGAAATTCGGGAGGAAGCTTTACGAGTCCTTACTAGTGTGAGTGCCCAGCCCTGACCCTGCCGTCATTGGTCACCCGATCTGAGCTGTTCACCTCTTCCTTTCCAAATGCCTATCTCTCCCCTTGCAGGGGGAGCCTCCCAGACATGAACAAGATGCTGGACAAGGAGGACTTCACTATGATGAAGAGAGCCATTTTTGCTACTCAGGTATGGTCTGCATCCCATTCCCAGCATTTCCTGAGGCCTCTTGCCCCAAAGGTTTCTGGGAGTTCTATTCTCTTGGGTAACCCTTCATAGAGAGCCAATTCTGAGATCCACAGAAATGTCAATGTAAAAACACAACTTCAACATCAAAGGGAATAAGATTGTTTATTCTGGCCTGGTGGTGGTGGTGTACACCTTTAAGGAGGCAGAGGCAGGCAGATCTCTGATTTTGAAGGCATCTGGTCTACAGAGTGAATTCCAGGACAGCCAGAACTATACACAGAAACCCTTTCTCAAACAAACAAAACAAAACAAAAAGAGAGAGAGATGGAGAGAAAGACAGTTTATTCTGTAGCCGAGTATGACTCGGCCAGGCACACAAATTTAGGTCACTTGGAACACCATGTTCCAATATAGTAACCATTTTTTGACTTTGTATGGTAACAGAACAGAGAAAGTAATAGCATAAGGTATTTTAAAACATGCTGGTGGAGACATCAGGTTAGAAGGGTTCCAGCAAAGGGAGAAATCTCAGCTAGAGACCTAAAATGCTGTCTGGCGGCATTTCCAGTCTTGGTAGAAACTGGGGTTTCACTAAGTTACTACAGCCCAGAAGCCTTTATGTTAGTCATGGCTCTTATTAGACAGAGAGAGGTGGCAAGGAGCAGCTATTTGGGGAGTTGAAATTAATTAATGTGTGTCTGTGGGACAGGGGGAGTGGGGAGACAGGGTTTCTCTGTGTAACAGCTCTAGATCCTGGAACTAACTCTTTAATCCAGGCTGGCCTCGAACTTGCAGAGATCCGCCTACTTCTGCCTCCCAAGTGCTGGTGGTTTTTTTGTGTGTGTGTGTTTATTTTTTTAAGATGTATTTATTTATTAAGTATACAGAGTCCTGCCTGCATTATGCTTTTATGCCAGAAGAGGGCAGCAGATCCTATTAAAGATGGCTGTGAGCCACCATGTAGTTGCCGGGAATTGAACTCAGGACCTTAGGAAAAATAAGCAGTACTCTAGCTGCTGAGCCATCTCTCCAGCCTCTTTTTCTTTTTAAAGATTTATTGGGCCAGGCGGTGGTGGCGCACACCTTTAATCCCAGCACTTGGGAGGAGGCAGAGGCAGGCAGATCTCTATGAGTTTGAGGCCAGCCTGGTCTACAAGAGCTAATGCCAGGACAGGCCCCAAAGCTACAGAGAAACCTTGTCTCCAAAAATCAAAAAAGAAAAAGATTTATTTAGTATGTATACAGTGTTCTGTCTGCATGTATTCCTGCAGGCCAGAAGAGGGCACCAGATCTTATGTTTGTGAGCCACCATGTGGTTGCTGAGAATTGAACTCAGGACCTCTGGAAGAGCAGCCAGTGCTCTTAACCGCTGAGCCATCTCTCCAGCCCATGGTGGTATGGTGGTATTTTTTTGTTTTTTGTCTTATTATTGAAGACACATTTTTTTTCTGCTTAGCCTTGGGCTATCGTGGATCTCTCCATGTAGACCAGGTTGGCCCCAGACTTAGAGATCTTCCTGTTTCAGCCTTTGGAGTGCTGGGATTAAAGCATGGGTCCCCTAGCCTGCTCCCATGGCTGTGTCCTATTTCCCTCAGAATCCTCTGGTTCCTGATGTTGGAATTAAGTGAAAGGGAAGCATTAGGAAGATGAGGCCCATGAAATAAGAACTCTATTTTGAACTTTATTGACTGACTTCCTTTGCCCCTGAGGCTGCTGGGAGTTCTTTCATTTCTAGCATGTCATGGGCTTTGGTGCCTATGGTCCACATTGATGAGACTGTTTGGGAATCTAGACAGCTAACATGGACTAATGGGGTAGGATGTGCTATTGGAGAAAAGATTTCTTTTTCTTTTCTTTCTTTTTTTTTTTTTTTTTGAATTTTCGAGACAGGGTTTCTCCATAGCTTTTGGTTCCTGTCCTGGAACTAGCTCTTGTAGACCAGGCTGGCCTCGAACTCACAGAGATTCGCCTACCTCTCCCTCCCGAGTGCTGGGATTAAAGGCGTGTGCCACCACCGCCTGGCCTGGAGAAAATATTTCTAAAGCGAGGCAGCCACTTCCTTCTTGAATAATGCTAACATGGGCTACTGGGAGTTGTAGTGTTTTTGTTTCTTTGTTCAGTTTTGTTTGTTTGTTTTCTTTTCTTTTGTTTTCTTTTTGAAACAGGGTTTCTCTATGTATCTCCAGGTGTTCTGGAACTCATTCTGTAGACCAGGCTGGCCTCAAACTCAAGAGAGCTGCCTGTGTCTGCCTCCCTGAGTGCTGGGATTAAAGGCCTACGCCACCGCTGCCTTGTGGGAGTTGTAGTTTTTGGCCCTCATACACCGCCATTGTGTGTGTCTTTTAGCGAGGTGGTGCAAGACAGTCATAAGCTCTTCTTCCTAGTAGAAAAGTCTAGGGTTTCCTGTCAATCTATCCGTGAGTTGCAGCTATGATTCCTGGGTTCTTAAGAAACTACAACTCCCAGCTGCCCTTACAGCTTGTTATCAAATGGATATAACTGCCCACTTGGCTGGGGGCTTTTAAATTTCCTTGGGATTTCCTTATTTTGGGGGGACAGAATCAGCATCCTGCTGCCATTCTGGTTTATGTTACATGGTTACATCAGCTGAGGTGGCTGTAAAGCCACGTGGTTGCTTTCATCTTGCCAAGGTTTCTTGGGATTTCTTTAAGGACAGACACTTCCTCGTCATCTGTGGAGGGCCTCAGATCAGCTCTGCCTCAGTTTACTGGATTTTCTGCTGTGGTGGTGGCTTTGTTCATGATAATTATAGGAAAAAGCTGGGTTCCAGTCTGGAATTTGTTGGCCTCTGTTGGGGACATCTTCAGATCCCTGGCATCAGCGTGGCCCATGAGCAAGCAGCAAATCTGTCCCTCCCATGACCCCCCCCCACACACCTAACTTGTGGTTTCTACAGCGGCAGTCTTTCCCCCCTGTGTGCACCCACAACATGCTAGACGACTCCTCAGACCCCATCCTGACCACCATCCGCCGAATTGGCCTTTTCAACAGCAGTGCTGACCGTGTGAAGGTGAGGCCCGTGGTTGGTTGGGATGGGGCTGGTGGTGGTGGTGGGGTAGGGTTCGTCCTTGGGTTTCGTATTTCTTAGTTTATCAACTGTACTGTCTTAGGGTTTCTGTTGCTAAGAAGAGACAGCATGACCATGACAACTCTTATAAGGGAAAACATTTCATTGGAACTGGCTTACAGTTCAGAGGCTTAGTCCATTCTGCCATGGCGGAAGCATGGCAGCCACAGGCAGGCATGCTGCTGGGGAGGGAGCTGAGTGTGCCGCACCAGGATCCACAGGCAGCCGTGATGCTGGGGAGGGAGCTGAGTGTGCCGCACCAGGATCCACAGGCAGACGTGATGCTGGGGAGGGAGCTGAGTGTGCCGCACCTGGATCCACAGGCAGACATGATGCTGGGGAGGGAGCTCAGTGTGCTGCACCTGGATCCACAGGCAGACATGATGCTGGGGAGGGAGCTGAGTGTGCAGGACCTGGATCCACAGGCAGACATGATGCTGGGGAGGGAGCTGAGTGTGCCGCACCAGGATCCACAGGCAGACGTGATGCTGGGGAGGGAGCTGAGTGTGCTGCACCTGGATCCACAGGCAGACATGATGCTGGGGAGGGAGCTCAGTGTGCTGCACCTGGATCCACAGGCAGACATGATGCTGGGGAGGGAGCTGAGTGTGCGGGACCTGGATCCACAGGCAGACATGATGCTGGGGAGGGAGCTGAGTGTGCGGCACCTGGATCCACAGGCAGACATGATGCTGGGGAGGGAGCTCAGTGTGCCGCACCTGGATCCACAGGCAGACATGATGCTGGGGAGGGAGCTGAGTGTGCGGGACCTGGATCCACAGGCAGACATGATGCTGGGGAGGGAGCTGAGTGTGCCGCACCAGGATCCACAGGCAGCCGTGATGCTGGGGAGGGAGCTGAGTGTGCCGCACCAGGATCCACAGGCAGACGTGATGCTGGGGAGGGAGCTGAGTGTGCCGCACCTGGATCCACAGGCAGACATGATGCTGGGGAGGGAGCTCAGTGTGCTGCACCTGGATCCACAGGCAGACATGATGCTGGGGAGGGAGCTGAGTGTGCAGGACCTGGATCCACAGGCAGACATGATGCTGGGGAGGGAGCTGAGTGTGCCGCACCAGGATCCACAGGCAGACGTGATGCTGGGGAGGGAGCTGAGTGTGCTGCACCTGGATCCACAGGCAGACATGATGCTGGGGAGGGAGCTCAGTGTGCTGCACCTGGATCCACAGGCAGACATGATGCTGGGGAGGGAGCTGAGTGTGCGGGACCTGGATCCACAGGCAGACATGATGCTGGGGAGGGAGCTGAGTGTGCGGCACCTGGATCCACAGGCAGACATGATGCTGGGGAGGGAGCTCAGTGTGCCGCACCTGGATCCACAGGCAGACATGATGCTGGGGAGGGAGCTGAGTGTGCGGGACCTGGATCCACAGGCAGACATGATGCTGGGGAGGGAGCTGAGTGTGCGGCACCTGGATCCACAGGCAGACGTGATGCTGGGGAGGGAGCTGAGTGTGCCGCACCAGGATCCACAGGCAGACGTGATGCTGGGGAGGGAGCTGAGTGTGCTGCATCTGGATCCACAGGCAGACATGATGCTGGGGAGGGAGCTCAGTGTGCTGCACCTGGATCCACAGGCAGACATGATGCTGGGGAGGGAGCTCAGTGTGCTGCACCTGGATCCACAAGCAGCAGGAAATGATAGTGAGCCACGGGGCCTGGCTTGAGCTTCTGAAACGCAGAGCCCACTCCCAGTGACACACTTCCTCCAACAAGGCCTTACCTCCTAATAGTGTCACTCCCTATGAGCCTGGTGGGGGAGGGGATTTTTATTTTAAACTACCACCTGAACTATAGAAAGAACCGTGACTTCTGAGGCCAGGTGAATCTAGTTTAAGTCTTTGTTGGCTTGTCCACTTTGCTGTTTGTTTGATGTGCCCTCCCTGGCTACTCTGGGTCCTTACTTCTCTTCCTTTGGCAGGTGATTTTCCACCCGGAGTTCCTCTCCTCCACGAGCCCTCTGCTCCCTGTGGACTATGAGGAGTTTGTCCGAGGCTGTCACCTTGGAGTCTTCCCCTCCTACTATGAGCCCTGGGGCTACACACCTGGTGAGTGTGGTGGGGAGGGGAGGGGGTAGCAGAGGGTTTGTGCAGTTCTGGCATGAACCTGCAACATGGCTCCTCGGTTTAGGGATGATGGTAAGGACTGAGCCTGTTCCATTGTACGGTTTTGTGACACGGAAGTCCACAGGGCTCAGGACTAGAAGACTGGTGTGGTGTTCATTTCCAGTGGTTGTCAAGGATAACCTCGTCTCCAGTTTGCTGGCATGTGATCTCTCAGAACCATGAGGTGCTGATGAGCAAGGCTGTTCCCAGTGCCTCTCAGAGTTGCTATGTAGCCAAGGCTGGACTTGAACTCCTGATCTTCTTGCTTCTACTTGCAGAGTGCTGGGATTACAAGCCTGCACCATTGTGACCTATTTTACAGTGCTGGCTGTTCAACCTAGGGCTTTGTGCCCACCAGACAAGCGGTCTACGAGCTAAACTTCCTGGTCCCCTCCACACCCCGATTCAGCCCTGAGCTTTGAGATGCAATCACCTGTTTCAAAGTCTCCCTCACTGAGGGAAGACCATGGGGCTTTCTTGTGAATTTTTGTTTTTTACACAGGGTTTTGTGAAACCCAAGCTGGCCGCAAGCTCACTGTGTCTGAGGATGACCTTGAACTCTTGACCCTCCTACCTCTATCTTTTTTTTTTTTTTAATTTTACTATTTTATTTGTGAAAAACTACAAGCAGAATTTACCTCTATCTTTTGAGTGTTTGTATTATAGGTATATTCATCAATTCTCTCTCTCTCTCTCTCTCTCTCTCTCTCTCACACACACACACACACACACACACACACACTGAGTGAATCATTAGTTCTCTTCCTTACAGAGCTTGGGTGAGGGGTTACTCAGAGGAGTGTGGGCATCCTTAAAGCAGTCCTATCACAGAGGAGTCTCCCCACCTCCGTGGCTGCAGCAATGGGGCCTCCTCCCACACTCTATACTGTAGGACCTCCTACGGCCATACCAATAAGGCTGGAACCGAATTACACATATCTGGGAGGAGATGTGGGAAGGAGTGGCTGGAATCTCCAGAGAGGGGTAATGCCCACCCCCTCCTTCTACGAGAAAGCTGCAGCCCAGGCCTTGAGGGTCACTTGCAAGTTCTGGCACTGCTCTAATTAAGATAATAGTGGCCGGGTGCTAGAGGCAGAGGCAGTTGGATTTCTGTGAGTTCGGGGCCAGCCTGGTCTACAGAGTGAGTTCCAGGACAGCCAGGGCTGTACAGAGAAAACCTGTCTTAAAAGTAAAAAAAAAAAAAGATACTTGCTGCCATGCCTGAAAAGCTTTGTTCTATCACGGGGTCTCTGTCCCCTAGACTTGAACCCATGGCAGCCCTTGCCTTAGCTTCCTGTGGTAGGGCCTATCCTGAGCCTGGAATCACCGGCTGCCATCAGCTCTCTCTGACCTCTTTCCTCACCCCTAGTGGAAGCACACTGGGAAGGCTGAGGCAGCAGTCAGCATTTCACGGCCTTCCTGGGCTCCACAGGAAACCCTCAGACAAACCAGGTAGCAGCCAGCATCTACACCTGCAACGCTCACTAATGGACGCAGAGGCAGGAAGATTGGGAGTTCAGGGTCATCCTTGGCTGCCTCCTGCGTTTAGGGTCATCCTGGGCTACATGAGACCCTGTCTCGTACGACTGTGACTGGAGAGATGACTCAGCAATTAAGAGCATTGACTGAGCCGGGTGGTGGTGGTGCACACCTTTAATCTCAGCACTTGGGAGGCAGAGGCAGGCAGATCTCTGTGAGTTCGAGGCCAGCCTGGTCTACAAAGTGAGTTCCAGGACAGCCAGGGCTATACAAAGAAACCCTGTTTTGAAAAACATACATATGTACATACATACACACATACATACATACATACATACACACATACATACATACATATCTCAGAACAACAACCACCAACCTGACTATGACCATGTGATAATCCAAAATTTATACTCTGGCACCAGGCACACATGCACACACACACAATGTATCTTATGTGATGATTAAATAAAGTTCTTTCTGTAAGCCCACCGTTAGTGTTCCATAAATAAGTATCCTCTTAATCACGGGCTCTTCAGCTGGTTCACTTTTCTGAGTCTCCTAGCTTCCCTTCCTAGAAATGGAGGAGGCCCTCAGCGTCCCTCAGGTGCAGCCAGGGTGTGCTTGGCGCAGTTGCCAGCAGGTGGCAGTGTAGAGGCATCTCTTTTGCGGAGCAGGCTGGAGACCTGCTGAGTTTGCTTTCCCACTCTTGGCCCTACAGCGGAGTGCACCGTCATGGGCATCCCCAGCATCTCCACCAACCTCTCGGGCTTTGGCTGCTTTATGGAGGAACACATCGCAGATCCCTCAGCTTACGGTCAGTACAAACAAAGGACAGCAAGGGGGGTCTCGCCCACAATTCAGACTTTTTTTTTTTTTAACAAACCCTGATCCCTGCCTCTCTAGGCATTTACATTCTGGACCGGAGGTTCCGCAGCCTGGATGACTCCTGCTCACAGCTCACCTCCTTCCTCTACAGTTTCTGTCAGCAGAGCCGGCGACAGCGCATCATCCAGCGGAATCGCACAGAGCGGCTGTCAGACCTGTTGGATTGGAAGTACCTAGGCCGGGTATGACTGACTTCCCTTTCCTTAGCCTCAGCTGGTTCTGTAGCCCTAAGAGGCTGGAGATGGATGGGCGTGGTATTGCACGCCTTTAATCCCAGCAATTGGGAGACAGAGGCAGGAGGATCTCTGAGTTCCAGACCATCCTGGTCTACAGAACAAGTTCCATGATGCCAGTGAAACACAGAGAAACCCTGTCTTTATAAAAACAAAAAGAAAGAGGCTGGAGATAGGGCAGCATCTCCTACTTATAATAATTGCTGTCTCTTTAAAAAATTAATGGGACAGGAGCCTTAGTGGCACACACTTTTAATCCCAGCACTCAGGAGGCAGAGGCACACAGATCTCTGTGAGTTCGAGGCCAGCCTGCTCTACAAAGAGAGGTCCAGGAAGGCCAGGGCTGTTACACAGAGAAACTGTGTCTTGAAAAAGAAGAAATTAAATTCGTTGCTGGAGAGATTGGTTAAGTGCACTGGCCGCTCTTCCAGAGGTCCTGGGTTCGATTCCCAGGACCCACATGGTGGCTCACAAACATCTAAAATTCCATTTCTAGGGGATCTGACAGACATACTCGTGTGCACAGACACAACAAGCAGGCGAAACACCCCTTCCCATAAAAAACAACAGCAACAATAAATCCGGTGGCCCCTGTGTGTGTAGCACTGAAAAGAGGATACCTGGGGCTCACTGGATAGCCAGCACCCTCTTTATGGCAAACCCCCCCATCTCAAAAAAACAAGATGAAGGCCCGGCATTGTTACACGTCTTTTATTTCAGTACCTCACCTGCAGAGGCAGGTGGATCTCTGTGAGTTCCAAGCCAGCCTAGTCTACATAACAAGACCTGACTCCAAAAAGAGAAAAGAAAAAGATGGGCTGAAGAGAGGGCTCGCTGTGGTTAGGCACACTTGCTGTGTGATTATCAGCATGCAGACACCAGCACTCACAGGAAATACTGGTCATTTCACCCCCAGGAGTCAGTGCCTCTTCTGGTCTCTGCACGCACACATGCACAGCTTACATACACGTATGCATATACTCACACATGAATAAGCAAATCGTAAAAAAAAGCTCCTGAGGCATAACACCTGAAATTGTACTCTGGTCTTTGTAGATGGGTACGTGTGTGCACACACATACACACACACACACACACACTCACTCATACATACACCAAAAAAAAAAAAAAGAAAAGAAAGGACACAATCCCAGAGAGCTTAGACAACAATGCGGACACTAAGAGAGACTTACGTAGATCTAATCTACATGGGAAGTATAAAAAGACAAGATCTCCTGAGTAAATTGGGAGCATGGGGATCTTGGGGGAGAGCTGAAGCGGGGAGGGGAGAGTCAGGGAGGGGACCAGAGAAAAATGTAGAGCTCAATAAAAATCAATTTAAAAAAAAAAAAGGAAAACAAAACAACCTAGAAATAACATCTGGCCAGCGTTTTTTTCATTTGTGTGTAGTGGCGTGCCCAGTCAGCACCTGATCTGAGAATTTGTCTGCCCTGTGGTAAGGTGTAACAAAGATGATCCGTGCTTAGCCAGACGGGGCATTTGCAGTTACATAAGGATATTTACCTGGGACAGACAAATCTGCCCAGTGAACTTGTTTGCCTAAAGGTGTAGCAAAGTGGAGCCTGCTGACAGTTCAGAGCCAGTTGGGCGTGGGTAGTCATCCCCTCAACCCTCAGGTGTGACCAGCTGTATCTATTGGCCCAGGCTTGTCATCCCGGGTACTTGGAAGGGGGAGGCAGGAGAACTATACTATCTATAAGCCAGCCTAGCTAATTACCAAGGGAAAGTTGGCTGTCAAGCCCTTGCCTAGACTCCTCCTGTGACAGGGGTGGAGCTTGGCTCAGTGTTGGCTCAGGGGAAATGGGGTGGTTAGGTTGTAGACCCTTACCTAGCACCTACAGAGTGGCACAGTGTAGAGACCCTGCCTTGCTTCCCCCGGTGATAATCTGGGGAGCGTGGCTCTTCTTTTTTTTTTTTTTTAAATATTTATTTATTTATTTATTTATTATCTATACAATATTCTGTCTGTGTGTACGCCTGCAGGCCTGAAGAGGACACCAGACCCCATTACAGATGGTTGTGAGCCACCATGTGGTTGCTGGGAATTGAACTCAGGACCTTTGGAAGAGCAGGCAATGCTCTTAACCTCTGAGCCATCTCTCCAGCCCCGCGTGGCTCTTCTTTTAATAAAATATATGGCCAGGCAGTAGTGGCCCATGCCTAAATAACAGCACTTGGGAGACAGAGGCAGGCCGATCTCTGGGTTTAACAGGACCACCAGGGCTACACAGAGAAGAAAAAGTGGCTGGGCTTGGTCTGCCGGGAGCTGGAGTGTAACTCTGACATATTCTGTCCCCCTTCCTGCCCAGTACTACATGTCTGCACGCCACATGGCCCTGGCCAAGGCTTTTCCAGATCATTTCACCTATGAGCCCCACGCGGTAGATGCGGTAAGTGAAGCCCGGACCAATGCTGGGCCGGGCGGGACAGGCTGGTTTGGGACTGACACTAATGAGGGCTTATGTGGCACCCGTTCACCCTGTTTGTGTCTGCTCCGGGTTATGCAGTCCCAGGGGTACCGTTACCCACGGCCAGCCTCCGTGCCGCCATCGCCCTCACTGTCTCGACACTCCAGCCCACACCAGAGTGAGGACGAGGAAGAGCCCCGGGATGGACTACTGCGGGAAGACAGTGAGCGTTATGACGAGGAAGAAGAGGCTGCCAAGGACCGCCGCAACATCCGAGCACCGGAGTGGCCCCGCCGGGCCTCCTGTTCTTCCTCCACAGGTGGAAGCAAGAGAAGCAACTCAGTGGACACTGGCGCCTCCAGCTCACTCAGCACACCCACTGAGCCCCTGAGTCCTACCAGTTCCGTGGGCGAGGAGCGTAACTAAGCCCCTCTACCCCACTCCCTACCTGTCCTGTGTCCCTCCTGCAGAGGGCCTGATAGATGGGAGGGTGCCTGAACCCCACTCCAGACCCTGAGAGGGACCCGTACCCAGTGTGGTCCACAGCCCAGCCTGTTTCAGACACTCCAGCCCCTGGGCTCCAGTCTTGGAGCCCCCACACTCCACGCCGCTGTGTGCCTTTCTTGAATTGCAGAATGCATTCTTTGTGTTCTGGTCTGGAGTCTCCAGACTCAGACTGGGTCCCAGAGGCCAGGAATCTGCCTTTGTTCTTCGATGCCAGAGGTTTTCAGCCTCCTGGTTTATTGTTTTCCAGGCTGCAGCTTCTTCATTTGATCCTAAACCACAGAGTATGCTGTGCTCAGGCCTGCCCCTCATGTTAGAATCTGTGGCCTCTCTGCAACCGGGACGCCAAGTGCAGAGTTAGGACGCCTCAGGGATTAACATAGTTGAATATGAGCTGGAAAAGTAGCTCAGTTGTCAGAGTGCTTGCCTGGCACACCCAGGGATCTAGCTCTAACACCTCACCTCGTAAACCTGAATTGCTGGTGCACCTCTGTAATTCCAGCACTCAGTAAGTAGAGGCAGAAGGGTCAGGCGTTTGTCTTCTGCTACACAGGAAGTTAGTTCAAGGCCAGGCAGGGCAAAAGTCAATGAAGCAAAGGTAACAGTGCTTAAGGTCCTCCATTTCAGCCCGCAGCTGGGATTCCAGGACAGGCTGCAAGCTTGGTCTCCCTGGGTGTGTCCTGCTCATTTCTCCCAGGGAGCATGCAGAGTTGGACCAGACCTTTTTGCCTTCTTGTGGACCAGAGGTTATTCTTCCCTTTGGCCCAGTGTCCCCTCCAGGAAATGCCTCCTTTGAGAACAGGATGACTATCAACCCCACAACGGCTCAGCCTGCGGTGAAACAGCTGGGCTCTGGCTCCCAGTGGCCAAATCAGGAGTCTGATCACTGTGCTGCCCCCTGATCCCCTTTCCTGATCTAGAACCGAGCCCACTGGCTTCTCGAAGCCCCACATGTACCTCGAGGCCTTTCTGCCTGCAAGCTTTGTCCTGCCCCAGCTTCAGTGAAGGGGGGCCCTCATACCTGAGGCCCTTCTTGGTTTGCATTTGGAGGGGGAGGGCAGAAGGTGTGTGATTGGAGTGTGTCCAGAGATGAAAAAAATATACATGTATTTAAGAGTTCCGTGTGGCTGAGCATGAAGTCCTGTGTTGCAGCGTGTCCTGTCTCCGCTCCCCGCTCCCCGCCTTTGTGTAAGCTTAGTTTTTCAGGTAGGTCCTTGGCACACCCCAAGGTGATGGCTCAAATCTGCAGCAGTCCTGCCTTAGCCTCACAAACACATAGCAGGAGCCCCAGCTTCCTCCTGGTTTCAGTCTGCTCTAGCCTGCCCAGCGCTTCTGTGCAAAGCCTTGAATTGCTGTTGGGAGAGGCCGGTGTTTTCAGGAAAGGTGATGTTGACTTAGTTTGGATTTGAGGCTCAGTGACCGCTGGGTAGAGATATGCAGGAAGTCACAGGGGCTCGCAACAAAGGACCCAAAGTTCAAAGCCTCCCTAGACTGAGGCAAGAGCCAGCCTCAAAGAGTGAAAAGCAGGCTCCTGTCAGCCAACACCGTGAAAACCAAAACTTAAATTATGTTTCTCAGTCGCACTGGCTACTTCCTTGGCTCTCAGACCTCAGTGCATGGCTGAGTTCTCCCTTCAATCTCTAAATCTGAGGATGGGGTGGCCAGAGTACAAAGCAGTGATTGTATTGGGTCATTTTCCTGCCCATGTGACTGTCCAGGGAGCAGTTTCACCCAGCCCTCCTCCTGTATGTTAGAGCAGACACAGCAGTGTAATCCAGTGACCCTATCCCACCCACCCCCGGAGCAAGGTTTTGGTTCCCTTTTGGACAGTGGTCCAAACTTTCACATCCTCCTTTTTGATGGGCCCCAACCTCTAGCTCAGCATCCCATGGACACCCTGTGACCCTGGCTGCCCCACCCTCCCAGCATGCGTTGCACTGGCATTTAGAGGCCCCCATTTGTTTAGTTTTCCTTCAGTGATAGGGGTGTAGCTCATTTGAGTTCAGCTATGAGGCCTCCACTCCTCTGCCAAGACCCATCCCTCCAACACACACGGTTCCCACAGAAAACAAGAGCCAGGCCGTCACCAACTGCTGCTTCAAAAGGCTTTATTTTTACTTGGTCCAAAACTTGAGAGGGGCTCCAGGGCGTTACAAAGCTGCCTAGTGGCTTCTTGAGAGGTTAGGGTGAAGGTCCTGAGGCGGGCTGGTGCAGAGCAGAGGTGGGAGCCCCTCGGAAGGAGAGGCCTCCTAGTCATGCTTGAGAGTGAGCCGCTCAAAGAGGTACTCGCCCAGAGATGCCTGGGGTCCAGTAGCCAACCTGCGGAGGTTGGTCAGGTGGTTGCCCATCTTCTTGATGACCTTCACCTCCTTATCCAGGAAGTGGTTTTCAAGGAAGTCACAGAGCTGCAGAGGAAGGAGAGACATCAGAGACCCAGTTCTCAGAGGCAGGTGTGAGCAGGAGGTTAGGTTAAAACTGTAATACAGGCAGCCAAGGTCTTGCCATAACAGGGAAAAAAGGGACTAAGAAGGTACTTACATGAGGATCTGTGCGGGCAGAGCCCAGGGAATGAAGATCCAAGAGGGCCTGGTTCAAGTTCTTCTCCAAGGCCAGGGCAGCTTCCATGGCCTCCTGGGTTTTACCCCACTCATCTTGAGATGCCTTCTGCACAAGAGAAAATAGTGTCTCAGTACTAGTCCTCCATCCTCCCAGCCAAGAATAAAACGGTCTATGCAGGGCCTGCTCAGTACAGAAACATTACGGCCCGCTTCTGATGAGTTCCAGGTCAACTAGGGCCACAAAGTGAGACCCTGCCTCCCCGGATCACAGCATCCTGTGGTCTCGGTTTGCACTGCATTTCCCACTTTGAGACACTGTGCACTTAACTGTCTCTACCTGCCAATCCCCACCACCACCACATACACCCCTCAAGAATGGAATGCAACTTTCCAGCAGTCGGACCTATATCGGGTCAAAACCACGAGATGGCAGTAACAAACAAACCAAGGGGCCGCATGGGTGCGGCGCGCTCGGTGTTGACCAATGTCCCCCGCCGCTCTCACCTGCACATCCTGAAAGAGTGCACGGCCTCCGCGATCGTTCTGCAACTTGAGGAGACGCTCGGCACCCTCGCGCTTCTCCTCGGCCAATTCGCGGAAAAAGTGGCCTACACCCTCCAGAGCCACGTCATCCCGGTCAAAATAGTAGCCCTGCGGTAAGAAATATTACAAGCGAGTTAACGGAACGCAGTGGCGCACACCTTTAAACGCAATACTCGGGAGCAGAGGGAAAGCACGTGCTAGTCGAGGCCAGCCTGGTCGTCCACACTGTGCTACAATCTCAAAGTAAACAAGAGCTGTGCAGGGGCGAGGCCGGCGCACGAGGTCCCCGCCCTTGATGGAACAAAGGGGGCCCGCGCATGCGCGGCAGGGTGGGCGAGTGATCCAGTGCGGAGGGCAGCCCGGGTTACTCACCAGGGAGAGGTAGGTGTAGGAGGCCCGCAGGTGCAGGTTGACCAGGCGGTTCACGGCAGCCTCCACTTCGGTGGAATAATTCTGACGAATCTGGGAGGTCATGGTTGAGACGCAGTCTGGAGCTACCCGCAAAGAGACGGTGTTAGCTGGTCCTGGGAGCTGAAGGCGGCGAGGTGATGGTCCCGGAGGCTGCGGCTGCAGATGAGGAGCGGTGGAAGCTAACAAAGGGAGGCCCCGGGTCTGTTCCGTCCAAACACTGTTGAAGCAAGACACAGATCCACGGGATCTCCGAAGGCTGCTGCGGGCCGAGCGCGGACGGCTCCTTTTATATTGTGCTGACCCCCCCCAGGGGGCGGGACGCCCCAGCCAGGGATTAGCCAATGGGCGGTGCTGTGAGGCGGGGAAGGAAGATTGTACTCGACCAATCCTGACTGAGGGGGATCCCGGCCCCACCCTTCTCCCGTGGGGTAGTCACGCGCCTGGAGCGCGAGGCCGTTGTGAAATGGAGGCTGGGGGAGGGGCGGGGGTCGTGGTTCGAGCGCCAATCTGAGGTCGGGTGGTCATGGCGATTAGGGGGAGGGATGGCTCTGAGCTCCTTTGGGGGTGTTTCACAGAAGGCAAGGCCTGAGAACATGAGTTCAGCGATGGGCTCAGTGTGGGTGGGGTACGTCTGTAGGGCAAAGAGACCCTCCATTGCCCAAAAATTGCTTCACGTGATGAAGGGTATCACTTCATGGGGATATGTGGTATGGAAGGGGTACTCAGAAGTCTAGGGTTTCAAGGTTCACGATGCTTCGTGGGTTTGCTTTTTCCCTGCGGAGGTCTTGAAGCCTTGAGGTGGTATGCGGGATGGAAAGGGTAGAGAGCCCTGGAGTATCGCGTGTGCGCGTCTCTGGTGCTCTGAGTCCTGGTCAGCCTGTCTGGTCTGGGGACCGGTTTTTCTAGGAACTGAGACATGCCTATGGGGAATTTCTGGGCTGCCTTTCCTGGAGACTGGTCCAGAGGCTTCCTTGCCGCTTGTTCTTTGGGAATTAGAGAAGTCCGACTCTACAGAACAAGAACTCAGGATCCAGGAAAATCGTCTTCAGCCAAACACTTGATGCATGCAAGGTCCTAGTAGGCAGGAAAGGCCCCTACCAGGGTTCCAACCTCAGGAACTTGAGAGGAGGGCAGAGGTGAGAAATGTCCCATCCTCGAAGGGGAGTTAATACAAGGAACTGGAAAGATTGGCCTTGGGGCCTGGGAAAAGGTCCACTGGCTGCTGCTGAGTCATTGGTGGAAGGGGTAGCCCGGGCCAATACTGCTGAGTCACGCTGAGCTCAGCTTGGTGGTGGTTGTGGGATGGGGCTCTGGCCCCACCCTGGCTGACAACCTGTTGTCCCCAGCTGAGGGACGGTGGGGGCTGTGGCCTGGGTCCCCCCACCACGGCGGTTCGCTCCCTTCTTTCCCCAAGTGTGTTCATGCAGTTTTACTCTGCGGGTGGGTGTCCTACACATATCTTTACCCTGACTTGCCGTCTGCGGTGTCCTGTTGATGTGGGGACCAGAGTTAGTCATTAACCACAGCCTGACCTTTGTCTCCAACCTGACAGACCTGGACAAGGCAATAAAGGTGTAAAAAGGCAACATCCGGGAACCATAGAAAATAAGGGAGCACTCTGAAGGCATGGCGGAGTGTAGGGAATATGGGTGGCAGTCTCATGAGGGGAAAGGACCAAATCCCCTTTGAAAGTCCTCCTCTCCTTTTGTGCCTCTCTGGCAATCCAGCCCCTAGGAGTTTGCTCTCTCCACTCTGCTCTTCGGATCCAGCAGGGATGGATCTGGCCCCCCAGGCCTGCAGCCTACACTATCCCCAGAGCTAAAGGCAGCACGGCAGCTGCTGCACCCTTTGCGGAGCGGGCTGTTCCAAGTCCCTGGTGGGCAGGGGGCCTGGTGCTGTTGACACCAGCTGGGTGGACACTGGACCATACAATCCAAAGTGGACCTGAGGTTTATTGTCCCCTCCCCCAGGCCACCATTCCCACCCTTCCCAATAATTACAAAAGTAAGAAAAATGCCTGTCCCCTGTCCCCATTCACCCCAGAAAAATGCCATAATTTATGAAGAAAAGACACAGTCCAAGGCAGCAGGTGGCCTCAGCCCATCTTCTTCCAGATCGTAAGTGAGGCAGTGAGGACTCCAGCCACAAAGATGGTCACTGTCTGCCATGTGGGGGTCCCGAAGTACGAGAGGAGGCCATCCTGGGAACAGAGACATTTGTTACTTCAACACCAAGGGGGAGTGGGAGCAGGGAGCTCACATGTGGGAATTCTAAGGGGACCCCAGGACTAGAATCCTAGTCCCAACACTCAGGACCCTGAGGCATTCTAAGGGGACCCCAGGACTAGAATCCTAGCCCCAACACTCAGGACCCCGCCCGAGGCATTCTAAGGGGACCCCAGGACTAGAATCCTAGCCCCAACACTCAGGACCCTGAGGCATTCTAAGGGAACCCCAGGGAATTCTAAGGGGACCTAGCCCCAACACTCAGGACCCTGAGGCAGCAGGGTTAGAAGTTTAATGTCAACCTGGGAAATTTGTTGAAACCTTCACTCAAAAAACAAGAGGCTGGGTGCTGGCACATGCCTTTAACCCCAGCCAACAC